TCTGCTCCATGACCTCTGAGCAGGAAGCACCAGGGCGCAACCTGGGGATTTTCCATGCAGCGATTGCTTATCAATTCTTACTCAGATCTGGGCAGTGTGTCCTCAGGCTTTTATGAGCATCCGAGTCACCTAAAGATTGTAGATTGGAGCCTTCCAGCACACATTATCAGCCTCAGGTTCTCTAGGTCTAGAATGGGCTCTGGAGAGTTGTGTTAAGCAAACACTCCATGTTCTAATCCAGCAGGCCCATAGGCCCCATCCCTACAAATACTGCCCTGGGCATCATAACAGATCCTGGGGCAAACCCACAGTGGATTTCACAAATGGCCCCTGTCCTCAGGGAGCCCCTTGGTTTAGCAGGAGAAACACAGGTAACAGGTAGGTCCTCACATGTGTGAATAGGCCCTGGAAACTAGAGCTCTTAAGAACTAATTCAGTCCTGGGTAGAGACAGGAGAAATACGAGGTGGGCTTGGAAAATTATTGCCTGTACAGGCATACCTCATTTTACTGTGCTGCACTATTGTACGTTTCACAGATGTTGCATTTTTAACCCAACCTGCAATATCTCCAAGGTGTGCCTGTGTGTCATGCTTGGGTGGCCTGGAGCAGCTTGGGATGGTCTTGAACATAGGGGTGTGTGTGCTGGGACCAGGAGTACCATAGGTGTTTTGGTTGGGTTTTGACCTAGCAAATTTGCCAACATGTTTTAAAAGTGACACTAATTCATGTTGGCAAGGTTGCCGTGAAACTGGCCTTCTCATGTGCTATTTATTAGTGGTTGAGTTAATTGGTAAAATCTTTCTGGAGGGTGGAGCCAGTCATTTTAGATGTTTAAAAAACATCTTACACATCAGTATGCTAACTAAAGCATAATTAGGAAATTAGAAAATGGAAGTTCTGGGCCGGCTGAGTGGCGCGATGGTTAAGAGCTGGCTTGGGACACCAGAGGGCCCCAGTTTGGATCCCACATGAGGGCCAGTGACACTGCCCTCTACAGCTAAGATGCTGAACAACAGCTCAACCTGGAGCTGGGCTGCCTTGAGTGCCCAGCAACGGCGTGGGCTGCAGCGCCTGCTGAAGTGGGTTGCCATGGGCTGCCATGTGTAGCCAGCAGCCAGCGTGAGCGGCCAGCAGCCAGCGTGAGCGGCCAGCAGCTGCCGTGAGCGGCCATCCAGAAGCCGGCGACTGATCTGCCTCTCCTCGCTGGGGAAGAGTGCAATGATGGTGCCAACTTGGGC